TTACTTATGAAAATTGACTGGACGCATATAAATGTCATTCATGAACCAGAAATTGTTTTAATATTTCTTAAATGAATCAAGTAAATATCAAAGCAATAATGTGGCACAGCAAGTTGTCTGGCTGCTTCTCCCTTCTTGATTGGGCAATGTAAGACTGTGCAATATCATGGCATCACTTTAAGGTTTCCTCCCTTTTTTTTATTTGACTTAGATTTTCGCCCATCTGTTGTGTCAGAGCTTTGAATCATCTTATGTCATTGCCAGTTTGTACGCATCTCACCTCTACTTCTGTTTTTTTTTTTGTTTTTTTTTTTACATGTAAGCAAACCATATTGTTTCCATGTTTCCATGTACATAGAACAATTACACTTTGTAATGATACACAAATAATTACATTTTTTGTACACTTTGAATAATTACAGAGATTCAGTGTTGTGTAAAAAGCAATCCCCACTCTGGAGATTTATTCTGTCTTTGGTTTCTTGTCATTCTCAGCTGCTTAAGATGAGCAAACAAATGTAGTTATTGGGTAGTAATAACTTCAGTAAATACAAAAAAGAGATAAAAAGGGGGGGGGGGAAGCTATCCAAATCAACCTGGCCTTTTGTGGAAAAAGTAATTGTTCTTTCGATAACTCAAACAATCAATCAAGTGCTTTACAGACTCAAAAAGAACATAAACAACAAAGCAACAACTGAACAAACAAACAAAACCAGAAGTGTCACCACACATTTAAGTAGAAAAAGCCTGTTAGAATAAAAAAGTCTTAAGTTTTGATTTAAAGGGACTAAATTTGCTTATGGATCGAAGATCTAAGGGAGCTGATTTCAAAATCACGATGCTACTACGCAGAAAGCATAATCACGCCAGTGTTTGCATTTAGTATTAGAAACTTATAAGAAGGAAATGATTGTCTGATCTCAAAGCCTGAGGGCAAGATGAGAAGCTCAGTAACCCTAAGTAAGGAGGATAAAGGCTATTGAGGGCTTTAAAACAAATAATAAAAGCAGGAAGTCAAAGCAGAGAGGATAAGACAGGTGTGATGTCGTCCCATCTAAAAGTCTTGTGTAAAAGACGAACTGCTGCATTCTGCATGAGTTGGTGACGTTTCAAAGATGTTTCAAAGATGACTCATGCAAGAAATGTGTTGCAATTCCGCAAAACTGATAACCCAACTGCCAAACGCCTCAGGTCATGTTTTTAAACTGATACAAGCATGAACAGCCTTCTCCAAGTCAAAATGATTAAAGAAAGTTTAAGCCTTCATTAGAAGGTGTACATGACAAAAATCCATTGTAAAGCCTTGTCAAGGTTTTTCACATGGCCACTGATAGAATTTTCCAGACCACTAAGAGCTTTGCCACCAGATAGGATCCTCTCTGTATTTTAGTCATTAATAAACAGAGTTCTGACTCAACAACTGTTTGACTGCAGAGATGCAGAGAGAAAGCAGATTACTGCATCCTGGCCTTATTGGTCATCTGCATAGTAATGGATTTAACATTGTGACGATTTATTTTATGATAGATCCCAACAGTAATATGTAGAGAAAAAAGTAAAGGGCCCAATATGGAACCAGGAGGTACCCCATGAAAAAAAAGGGGGTCATTCATTGTGGCTTCAGAATCAGGACAACTTGTTATAACTTATTGAATCACTGATTAGTTCTCAACTGAAAACTCCTGACAAAAATGTATGACCACTGGTTAATGAACCCAAACACTTAGTTAGGCAGCAGGAAAATTATCCAAAGCACACCAGTTCAGACTTAAATTTACTTGAGATATCTTTCCATGGCGTTTATGTAAGAGATGAACTATTACAGGGGTGAAATGTTATCTCCTGTTTTAGTCCTACAGAGCACAACCATCTCTGCTAACCAGATTGTTGAAACACAATGGTCTCATCTAAAGTTCTTAGAAATGTCTTTTTCTGTGTTAACCCGTTGACGTTTTTCTTTGAAAATAATAGCATAGAAAAGCAATGGCCAGATGGTTAACCTTAACATACCCCGGCAGTAAAAAATAGGAAGGAAGATCAGTTTGATATGTTCAGGGTCAGGTTACAAAGTGGGGTTTGTGGAAACTGTGCCTTGAGAGTTTAGTATGGTGAAGTTTTTTCTGACCAAACCATTACAGGGTCAAACCTGTTGCGAAGATCAAGATTGAGTCAGTTTGTCTAATAGACAAATTTCTTTGTTTATGTTGCGTGGAAGTGAGGAAGTGGTCAAATTGAAGAACATTACATGTAAAATATTGATAGATGTTAAACTCTTCAACTTGTGTTACAGATGTAAAACGGAAGTGACAAACCAAGCAAGAATCTGCTTCTAATGTCAGAGAAAGGCACAATCATGCTATTTTTTCAAGTCAAAGGAAGACAGTTTAGGAATATTGTCGTTTGCTATCAAGAAATATATTTTTTGCAAATTAATGTGCATTAAGGTGTCAATATCTTAGGAATGTCTTTAGCAAATTGGTGTCCCTGTGCTTCCTTTGAAATGCTACATGTATATAAAAAAAGAGGTCCGTCTTTTACTGTCTTACTTTGTGTTATAATATTAAACTTTAAGATATCTCCAGCAATTAACCCAAACTTATTTCCTAGTTTAACAATAGTATCCAGACAACAACAGTATCCAGACGCAGATTAGCTTCTAATTAGATTTCATCTTAAAGCAAAAATATTCAACGTTCTAACCTTTTATTAATAATAAAGTTCCTGAAGGATGGCTGAAGACTATGTAAATGCGTACTTTGCATGGCATCTGGGTCCGCCTTGATGTAGGCGGACGCATTATCAACCACGGATAAATTGATATTCATTGTCTGTGTTTTATCAGTCAAACTTGACCACGGACTAACCAAGATCAGACAAGAGAGGCTTTCAAAAAAGGTACTGTATGTTGGTTAATTAATACATTTTAAACCTGATTTGTGTCCTTTTTGAGGTAAAATTTGTTTCTTTATCTCTAATTTCCATGGCAACAGGACAAATTAAATAAAAAAAAATTATACTATTAACCAAATGAGCTAATAAGTGTGATCTTATTTTTATTATTTGATTGTCCATCTTCTTCTACAGCTGAGGTCTTTCAGTGCAGTTTTCATATTCTCCCCGTGAACATGAGTGCGTGCTTTATGTATTGAACTTATTTCTGCCTGTAGCTTTATTTATATGGAGTTTTAAAACAGCTAAAGTGTAGACACTCCAAAAAAACAAACAAACAAAAAACAGTATAGCTACATAATTTGTAGGTCTCAATAGTTAGAATTGGGATCTAGAATCTCCAGGGAACTCATATGTTGACTGATGTTTGCATTTAATCCTAACACCATTTAAAAAAAAAGCCAAAGCCAGACTTTGGAAATACAGACCCATTTAAGAAATTAAGAAAAGCCCATTTATTTCAGGAACTTCATCATGGACATTTGAAAGCCTTTATTTATGTTAAAGATGATAATTTTCAGTTTAGAAATAATGAGAACATTACAGTAATACATCCGGCTATTAGATGACATTTTTCATACAGAAACGTGGTTCTTACTGAAAAGTATGTTCAATACCTGTTCAAAGATTAATTTCAAAAGATACTTTAAATCTAAAAGACCTCATCAGATCAGATGTTATTTTTCAATATGGTTGTAAGCCTTCCTTTCTCTTATTGGTGCATTTCTAGAAGCTCTTATTATACTTTAGTTAAACCCGCGGTCTGATTCTGCACCTTAAACATTGCAAAAGAGAATTGCTAAGAGTAACTAATCTCTAATCTATTTTGCAATATATTAGTGTTCATTCTGCCCTCATGTTGTTCTGCAGGTATCAGGACAGCCATGGATACAAACGCGTCCATCCATCAAATCAACAACACGCAGGAGTCCATGTCCTCCTCAGACTACTATGCAAATCTGAAAAAGTCTCTTCACATCTTGTCTCTCAGTGTTTTCGGCGTGGTGTTTGTGCTTGGGGTGTTTGGAAACGGACTGGTTATCTGGGTGGCCGGCTTCCGCATGAAAAAAAACGTTAATACAGTTTGGTTTCTCAACCTAGCTGTGGCTGACTTCCTCTTTACGGCCTTCCTCCCCCTGAGCATTACATACCAGGCTTTGAATTTCCACTGGCCATTTGGGAAGCTCATGTGCAAGCTGAACGGCACAGTAAACTTCCTAAATTTGTACGCCAGCGTCTACACCCTGGTGGCGATCAGCGTGGACAGGTTGGTGTCCATAGTGTGGCCGGTCTGGGCTCAGATTCATAGGAACGTGAGGAAGGCTTCCTATATGAGCTACGGTAACATTACCATCTGCTACAATAATTATGCTTCCTCCAATAATTATACCAATCCAGATGTGATTCAACTGCGACATTTTCGCCATCGATCTATGACCATTACCCGTGTTCTCCTGGGCTTCATCATCCCCTTCAGTGTTATGCTTTCCTGTTATTCCATCATAATCCACCGCCTCAGGAACAGCCCCACATTGGCCAAGCGATCAGGCCGCCCTTTTAGGGTAATTGCTACCATCATTATTACGTTTTTCCTGTGCTGGGCTCCCTTTCACATCATGACAATTGTTGAGTTGAAAAGATTTGATCCAGACAGCCAAAGCGAAACACTGGCACTTGTCATCGGCATCGGGTTACCACTCGCCACGTGTCTGGCCTACATTAACAGCTGCCTGAATCCAGTGTTGTACATATTCATAGGCCAGGATTTCAAGGATAAAATCTGCAAACCCATCCTGAAGGTGTTGGAGTCTGCATTTCAGGAAGATGAGATCAACACTTACACAAAATCTACCAGCGCCAGCGAAAACAAGAGATCTGACCACAATACTGAATTGTAGAAATAGCACTGAATTTTCTACACAGCTGAAAGGATTGAATAACTATTACAAAATCCCTGCTTTATTACATTATAATTGGGCCTGATTATCAAAAAGATTGATGTGATGTATACAAATGACTATTTCAGAGAAGGACAAAATCAAATAAACATTTCTCATGACTCTGATATTTTGTAAATTTGACATGTGCACTTGCATTATGCTATTATCAATAGACCAAGCTTTTAATTTTACTGTTAAATAAATATTTTTTATGTATATATTAATTGTATTTCATATATTCATTGTAAATGCCCAAGCAATTTAATTTAATGTTTTTTTTTTGCACAATGTTTGAGAATCAGTTTATTCCAGAAAGAAAGAAAGATGCACTTATTGAAGTGACAAAAACACTGTGTGGACACATCTTGCATTTACTGAAGTGTGTGATGTAACTCCTCAGTAATAACTGGCATCTTTCAGCAATTGTGTATGGCTGGAAGGTTGTGTTGAAAACACCAGGGTTCTGAAACTGTTAACAGGAAAAGCTTTATCTATGTTCAGATTTTTCCATAATTGAAGGCTAAAGGTGCCACTTCATTTTTAGGTGTAAAAATAAAGCTATTTCTGCTGTTTCTGACAAACAGCTTAACAATGGGGGAATTTTTTTTTTGAAAAATCCCCCTTTAGCTAAGCTGTTTGTCAGAAAAAGAAAGATCTGTTTTGGTCCTTAACTTTGTCAGTTTTATTATTGTCAGTGAGGCAGTTTTGTTTGCAAGATTTTGCTTGTTATTTTTCTTTGATTCTAGTGGAGATTATTTAACCTTTTACAATGTGCTAATCCCATAAGAAAAACTGAGATATTTTATCTCAATGCTATGTCTAATATATTGTCATGTACTAACTCTCGAATAAAATCATTGAATGTGATCATTTTAGTATGCTTTCAGAATACACTTCATGCTGTTGGCTTCAGATGTTTCAAATTTTGAGCTTTGAAACTGTGTTTTTTCTCTCTATGATGTGCTATCATATGATGGATTCATCATGGTCAAAAAAAAGGGATGTCCATGGTCAGGTTTGCACATATTTTAGAAAAAAGTAAATGCTATGATAGCATAAATGTAAGGACCCTAACTGTAAAACATGGAAACAAAGTGAGTTATCAAAATTAAAATTCCTAAAAAAAAAATGTGTTTTTAAATCACCAAACTGAACAATGCTATAAAACTTGGAATTTTAAATTTTACATATAAATATATCAATTGTAAAATATATGTACGGAAGAAGTGAAGTTTTAGAGACGCCGTTTCGTAAAAGCATATCGAAAAATAGATTACCGTTCTGATGTTTGTCTAAATCCCCAAATAAACACTAGGAGGCGGTAAGGCTTCTGTTGACCGGTTACACTGTGAGAAGATGGAAACAGAAGAAGGAGGAGTCGAGCCACCGTGGCCTAATTCAGCTAAGAGGCTATCACTGCACATCGGTTTTTAGCTGGGTGTTATATATTGTTAGTCACCGTATTCCGTGATGTACGAGATTTCACGGTAAGTCATAACTTAGCCGATAGTTGGAATTAGGTTTCAGTAACTTAGCTGTCTAACTCTTAAATAAAATTGCTGAACGTCTCCACCTTCCAGATGTAGAGTTAGCTAGGAGGAGCTAAAGTTAGCCGTTCCGATCACAATAAGCTCACGATTTATCACTCCAATGGGATGCTTAAAGCAACGTAAACTTTTCTGGGTTTACACTTTCATTCGGTGATTATTGCCTGCTAATTGTGTCGTCTTGTGCTGCATGTTAAGTCCAGCTTAAATAAAGTAAACGTTGATTGCTCTAGCATACACAATGTGTCCATATTAATTCTCGCTGCAGCAGTGCAGAAAGCGCCAATCTTTTGCTGTAAAAATATTAATGTCAAGAAGATTACTCCTTTGATAACTGTTAAGAAATCCTGTCAATGCTTTGTTGGCTATAAAATAGTGGGGGGAGGGATGTTTTTACACCGTCTGTGTGTCACGTTTAGAAATCTAAACAATGAAGGTTGGATGCATTTGTATATCTGCCAGGTGCGAGGTTATGTATTTTATATGTGGTTTGCCTTGAGACCTTTTATTTTCAAAGGAATTAAGCATGGGTTAGGAAAGATCACATTTAGCCACATCATTGACTCTCTAGATTACATACATCGCACGCACATACATTCTGTGCACCAGGTATTTCTTTGTGTACACATAAAGCATCAAGTTAGGATGAACATTTACATGGCAAATTCTCTTCGTTGCTGTAGACTGATGATAGAAAAACACAGCATATTGTAACAAGAGATTCTGTATGCAAAAGTTAGATAAAGTTTGAAGCATTGTGAGCAGTACTAGAAATAAGAACTTGCCTAACTCAGTATGGTTTTACAATGATTGAGTGCTCCAAGAATTAAATGCCCAACTTTATTCCAATAATCCATGATACATTGGTTTTCTTCCAGAGCGGCATTCTTGCATGTAAACAGTGTGTTTGATAAAATAATTGTGGTGACATCTTTATCTTTCAAGGGCGATCTGACGAAATGTTCTGTAGCTATGTAGCAACTACTTTATCTGCTCTCAACTCCATCAGAGAAGGAGAGGGAAAGAATGGATGTGATTAAATATTTATTGAGAGCGCAATCATTTTGTATTTGACTTTTTCTAAGTAATTTTCCTTTCTAACTTGTGAAAGTAATCAAGAATGGAAAAACAGGATGTCATGAACTAATCAATCATTCATTACCTATCCACAAAACATAAATGCTTTACTTGTTGTGCTGTAATTTCTTTCCTAGATTGGCAGTCAAAACTGAAACACTGCCTAGAATAACAACTTTACTTCTTGAACTCTTTAACAGAGTGAAAGTACTGAACATGCCCCAGCTTTTTAGGGGTTGCTTCAGATTTAGATGCTGGACTCATCTTGATGTAATTATTATCTATTGGTAACCAAATGTTCCACTGATCACAGGAACAGACTTGTTTCAGTTTGGGTACACTTTTATTTACCATAAGTTTAGCTTGGTCTGATTATATGTACAACAGTTAAACGAGAAGCAGGTAGCCATGTTTAGACATGTTAGAGCTTTGTTCTGTCAAACCAGAAATTTAGCCAAACTGGAAACCAGTTAGTTTGAATATACAGCTTGGCTTTTTCGATTAACTACTTAAACAAACTTACCTGAGTTGGTGCTGAGTCAGTCCTACAAAAATAATGATGTTAAGATTTCCTAAGCAGTCTGTTATTAAATCTGCATTTCTCACAGAATAATCAAACAAATCCTCAGGCTTGTTCCTTTGTGGCTTTTCTTCCCTTTTAAATCAGGGGAACCCAAGTCCAGTCATAAAAAGCTGCTGTCCTGGAGCTTTTACAACAGGGTAGTCCAAATTCAGTCCTTAAGAGTCTTTATCCCTTTATCCCATAATAGCAATAAATCTAATATAGTGGAATTTCTTCTAAATGAATAACTTCCACATTTTTTTCTGCTGTTAGGGTTTGGATGTTTAAGCCTGTGTTAAAATAGCAGGCTATCGGGTAAACTGGTTATTCTCAATCATTTGAATTTTAGAGAAGTTACAGACAGCTATAATCTTTTTGTAGATTTGCTAATGAATTTGAATTGTCCATTTTATTTTCATAAAATGCTCAAAAAGCTCCCGTTCTTCTCTGTCTGGAGGGGTTTCCCCAAGTGTATTATAAGCCTGGCGGGCCACCAGGCTTTACGTGGCCCCCACCAGTGTTTTATTTAAATAGATATTTTTTTACAAGTAACTTTGACAGTAAAGTCAGATTAAGTTGATGCACTTAAACTGAGTGTGAGGGCTGTCCTTGCACCTGCCCGTTGGTCTCACGTGCTACTGTTTATGATTGCTGAGGGGCATTCACACTCTTGAGTTCCTGTTTCTCTTTATTAGTGTGAATGCTATAGGCATTCACACTAATAAAGGCAATTTAAACTAGCTTTTTAACTGAAGTAACAAATAAGCCTGCTGTTGGTTTTGTGGTACATTGTATTGTTAAGAATAGGACTAGGTTTATCCCAATTGAAGTGCATGGTGTTAACTATGCACACATATACTCAATAAATAATATGTAAATGTAACTTTCCAATGATTGCATCAAAGAGAAACGTATTTAATTCCATAATTTCTATTTGGGTCGATACCTAAATTTCCCGCAGCCCTTGAGCCTCTCCATGTCAGTACGGCTCACGGACTTATTTCTCCTCCCTTCGTTCGCTTTCATCGCTGACTGTGAATTCTACTTAATCTTCGTACAGGTAAAATTAAATATCTTTAAACGTTTGCATTTACCAAGTTGCTGTTGGTGACTAATACAGCCACTCAAAGTACGCCTCATGTTATTGTTGCAAAGCGTGTTTTACAAAAGAGCAGCTATACTTTTAGGCAATAGATGACCGTCTATACCAGCTGCCAGTAGCAGCTCAATACAAATGCTAGTGTAACTGCGGATGTCTAATATAGTTGTAGTATAAAATCTGGTTTGTTGTAACCATGGTTTATTGTTATTATACTTAGTTTATTTCTTTTAATTGTTATTCTCTAACAAATTTCTTGGAAATACTTAAAGCTTTTGTCATTAACATTTATCACTGATCTGATTTATTTACTAGCGAGAGAGAAAAAAACCTGTAGTTTGTATCCTACAATGAACTTTTTTTATGTTACCTGATATACTCTGTTTGTGCTTTATTTGTTGTGCATAAATTAAAATCAATCATAACACTTTAGATTTACAAGAACTCAATGGTTAGAGGAGCTTTTATTTTTTGTTCATTATTGTGTTTTATTCTGCACATCCCCTTACTGACAATAACATACATTAACTAATCTGGTTTCAAAATACAAGTGAAATAAATACTGTTTTTCACAGAATTAAGTGATCAGTGTTTTCAATTGACTGAACAAATGAATAACATATATGAAGATGTTAGTCATTTGTCACTTTCATATATAGGAAAAATATTTTAACCTTTGTATATCATTACCCTTTTCAAATTTAATGAAGGTATATTAAGTATTTATTTATTTTTGTGTGTTTCCAGGTTGAACGTTGGTTGTTTGTGGATAAAATATACGTAAGCTCTAATCAGCTAACACAATGCCAAGGAAAGGTAAACGTTCGGAGTCCCAGAAGCTAAGGCGGCAAAAAGAGAGGATGGGTGCTTCTGAGAGCGTCAAAGAGGTACATGTCCCTGTTTCAGCTGTTCAGATGTCCAGCGTGTGAGGATCAGACAGATGCAGTGTCTTATGAAGATGTGATTAAAAACAACTTATCAAACATTGTCAGTACCAGAGGCTCAAGTACAGCACGTAATCCATACTGAACCTCAGGTAACCATGGCTGGAAATGTGCAGAGGCCGCATCCTGGAGAAACTTCAGAACAACCTTGTGGACAAGCTAGGAACCATGAAAGACACCCGACAGTGAGCAGTGTCTGTGCTTCCAAAAGTCAGGCGTACAGAAACAAACAATGTGTGTAACAGTTTAGTTTTCCTTTCATTTGTTCATGAGGATGAAATTATTACCAAAGCAGATCTTAACAGTTTACTGGATAAGGGCCATGCAGTGTACTCAGATGCTAGAGAAAGGCACATAAGCAGCGAGTTTCTAGCTACCGATGAACTTCTTCCAGCAAAACATTGTCTGATTTTTAAAGAATTTATTTGCAAATAAGGGTGGAAAATCAGTATTTTTTTCCCCCACTGTTCATATGGCACATTTGATGCAGCTCATCTTCAGAGCTTTGAACATTGACTGCAGTGTTTGACAGCAGAGGTCCAGTATGCTTTGCTAGTTATTCTAGGAAATGTCATCGCAGTTTGCAACTCAACAGGAATGTCATTGCCTGCTGGAGTAAGTGGTGGAACTGCAATTATGTTGAAAT